ACAAAACCTGGGAAAGGTGTGTGGCAGCAGGTCAAGCACCAGCAGGCAGGTCAAAAGCAAGTGTCAGCTCAGATCTGAGGCTTGCCCAGGTCACCCAGAGGAGCTGGGGCTGTCCCATCCCTGGGAGTGCTCAAGGCCAGGCTGGATGGAACTCTGAGCTGTCCCTGCCTGAGGGGTTTCAACAGGATGAGCTTTCAGCTCCTTTCCAACCCTTCTGTGATTCTGTGATCTCTCCATTTAGGAGCCCCAGCTGCTAACCTTTAATGAGCAGAGCCAGCAGGGCTGCTCCCATCCCTCTCCAGGCAGAGACAAATGAGCGGAATGGCCACACAATGCCAATGTCCAGCCCTGCACTCAGAATTCCCCACCACACCCAGCAAGCACAGGCTAAGCTGCTCACCCCCTCCCTCCAGTCCCACTGTGTGACAGCCCAGCAATGCCCTCACACTGCCCAAGGACACTCAAACCACAGCTCAGCATTGCAATGCAACTGTAAGCCAAGAAAAAAATTTTTTTTTAATGGGAAACACCCTCAAAACTGGGCACTGGATGATTTGCCACCAGTGGGGGTAACTGGGGATGAACTATAAAATTTGCACAGTGCAGGGGTAGCAGCTTCCTGATGGGCTGGGAGACAGACTCTGGCTGGGGTGGCAGCAACAGATGCAGGGCTGGAGCCACAGGGAGCTAAGGATATAACAGCAAGGTCTGCAGGAATATGTAATACCTTTTAATAGACCAGCTGGTACAGTTGGGAAAAAACCCACAAGCACACAAGCCCTCCTTTGAGCTGGTGCACCTTCAGGCCTGGCCATTTTTTCCAGCTGCATCACTTGGTCTATTAAAAGACATTACAGCTCCCTGCAACCCTTGTCTCTTCCTCTGGCCAGTCCTCCCCAGGATGAGGAATCTGGGTCATCCTGATGATACCTGTGATAGCTGCTGAAATGAAATAAAGATTTTGGCCCTAACACAGGGAGCAGGGAATGTCCTGTGCACAGGCCAGAGGAAGCTTGTTGTCCTTTAAGGCCAAGAGCTCAAAGCTGTCACTGCTTCCATCAGTGCATGTGGCTGTTTGGACACCTGGAGGAGCTACAGGAGCGTCTGGGCACTTGTGCCAACCTTGCAGGAATGAGGAAGCCAGGGCTGGTGGGGTGGGATGTGGGACTGCTCTGGGAACAAACCGCAGAGGGATGCTGGAGTGGATGAACGCAGATTCTGCTCTCAATGTTCCATGGACACAGCCCCCACACTGGGTCTGCAGCCACAGAGCAGCCACCCCCAGCAGCCCTGGGTGCCCCAGGAGCAGCACAGGTGCCATTCCCAGCCCATTCCTGCCTGACCTCTCCTGGAAGCTCAGAGGAGGTCGCCGTGTCCTGACGGCTCTGAGCAGCTGGGGCTGAAGCTGCCCAGCAAGGCCAGGCTGGAAGGAAGGAAGGAAGTTATAGCAGGCTTTTAAATAGTGCTGGGCAATACCTGAAACTGCTATTTCTGTGCACAGACAATATGGTTTCCATATTCTCCTCCTTCTCAGCAGACCAAGCCACTCACACTCCAGTTGAATTAACAACAACCCACACTCTCCACCAGTTTAAACCATTAATGCTCAGTGAAGCCACTGTGTGGGACAGTCCCAAGCTGTGCATTTCACCTAATGAAGAATCTATAGATGTCCTTCCATGTTTGCTTCCCACTCCTATTTTCCTTTTATAAGCAAGCAATGGATTGCAGGTGGTCTTGCAGCCCCCAGACACCAACACAGCTTCCTGCAAGACATCTGAGGTTGGCAATAAGGTTACATCCACCCCTTAGGCAGGTAACCATGGAACCAGGAGGATCCTCAGGGCTTCCTGAGGGTCACACACAGCTGTACACAGCAGAGCCACGTGGGGTTTGCAGTACTGATGAGGACAGCTTGGCTGTCATTATGAAAATACCCTCACACTTGGAAAAAAAAAAACAAACCACCAAGACAGAACTCCTCCAAACTAAATATACTTGCTTCTCTGTGGCAGTTAACCAGTTAAAAAATGTCCTTCCTTGAGTTTTTCCATCACATTTGCCATTCATCAGGCCTCTCATCTTGAGTCTACCAGGCAAGACACAACCAGGACACCTGTGCTGAGATGGGTTTTCCTCCACTCCTGGTGCACACACCTGAGGGCTCCGAGCCCAGCAGCACCAGGCGGGGAGGATCTCTGAGCTCTGGGCTCCCTTTGGGACCCTCCTATCTCTGCTGCTGGTGATAAGAGTTCCAAGGATGGTGCCCATACACCAGGGACCACAGCAGGGCTGCCACCTCCTCCTAAGCACCATCACACCTAGGAGGAACATTCCAGCTCTCCCATCTCCCCACAGGGCTGGGACAAGCAACACATCCTGCACTTACAAAACAACTCAGTTCTCCCAGTGTAATTCCAACACCTGGTCCAGGACATCAGCCCAGGAGTTCCATTGAGCTGGTGACACCCTTTCCCAGTCAGTGGATTTCATGGAAAGGGAACATCCCCTGCCCTACAGCCCCCACCAGGGACGCCCACAAGCAGGGAGCCACTATTTCCAAGTCAGCAAACACCAGGAAAATGTACCAGGAGCCACCTCAGGCCCCAGCCTGGGAAGGAATTGAGCCCAAATTAGTAATGCAAACACCAGGATTCAAAGAGTAACGAGTAATGCAAGGTTTGATGACAACATTGCTGTTCAGGACTTGGTGTGATTCCATTGCCAGCAAGTGACAAGTGCCAGACTGCCAAACAGGCGTGGAACAGGAGTGATTTAAGGAATAATACAGGTGGTTTTAGGAAAGCAGCACTAACACAGGAGACTAAAAGCTATTTCCTAACTGATCCTGGTTACAAATCTCAGCTAACCTTCCCTGCACTACAACAGGAGTGCTAGGATGCATGGATCCATCCATCCCAAGGGAAAGCCGTGCAGAGGGGATGCTCAGTGAGAAAGAGGAACTCAATGGATCCAGGTTTTGGCACTGGAGTTACAAATGCCCTGGAGGAAGAGATCACTTTTGGAAGGCAGGCCAGGGAGAGCTGAGGCAGCTCCACCAAGGCAGCCAGGGCCAGGCAGGGGCTGGGTGCCAAGCCCTGCACGCAGGAGAAATCCTCGCGCCAAGCAAGGTCACCGGGATTACAGGGGCAGGCGGGGATTGCTCGCACGAGTGGAGATGGGAAGGGCCCAAGGCCGGTCTGCACCCAACCTCACACTGACAAAATGCCACCACACAGGCGGCCCTACGTGACTCTGTGGCCAGGACCTCCTCAGAACCTTGTTTTCCTTCACGATTTGCCTTTCCTGATGGCAGGAGGCAAATCACCCCCCTCCAATTCCCTGGCCAACTGAGGGGACACAGCTACTGCCAAACCCAGAATGAAAAGCTGAGATGCTGATTAAAAAAAAAAAAAAGTTAAAAATATATAGCTCACACCAACTCGCAGAGGGAATCACAGCAAAGCTGTGCTGAGGCTGGCACGGGAAGCTGCAGATTTATCCAGCAGCAGCCGAGTTTGGAGAATGTGTTCCCTCCCGGCCCCCCCCGGGGCCTCCCCACCCAAAGGGATGGATGAGGTTCATCCCTTCAGCTGTTTATAAAAGCAGCAGCAGCAGCAGCACTGCGCCCAGACGCACTCGGCAGCATTCCTCCCTCTCATTCCTGCGAGCTATATAAGGGAACGGCCAATTCCAGCCCCGCTCCCTGCGCGCCGGAGCAGCTCCAGGCTCGGCTTCCTGCAGAAGGACTTAAATCCGTCCTCGGTGGAACACGGCGCTGCGCTGGACCTTGTCATCAAATGGCAGCGCAGGCAGCTGCCAAATCCTGCCGGCTCGGTGCTCTAATAGGGAACAGCTGGAGAAGGAAGGACCCTGCATTCCTCCCGCCCCGTCCACACCGGGGGCTCTGTTCGGGATCCGGCCGCAGGATTTCCATCCATCCATCCATGCATCCATCACGGAACGCAGCCGGCCGCTCCCCGCACCGCTCGGCACCCGAGAGCTTCCAGCCTTGGTGCTTCGGAATTGGGGGTTCGCTTTGCTTTTTATGGGATTTTTTTGGTTTGGGATTTTTTCTTTTTTTTAAGAGGTGTTGGAGAAACAGGACTGCGCAACTAAATGACATTTCACCTTGCCCGCTGGCCTGTGTTACAAAAACTCTACTTTAAGCAACTTGCATCCCTGCGTACATCCACGCTTAGGAACACACGCATCTGTAACACACCCCCCATAAATAAACACGGGAACACACGGCGCAATTCGCACGGAGCCTGTGCCATTCCCATCCTGCCCCGACTCCCATTTACTTTGGAAGAGTTGAGCAACTTGTAATGGCAAATAAATAAAAGAAAAATACACTTTCGGTAGCCACGCACATTTGCTGTCCTGCACCCTGCACGCTCAGTAACATGAAACAGTCCACTCATATTTTCTCAGAGCTCTGCTGAAACACAAGGGGGTATTCAGAGCCGCAGGAAAAAAAATGCGTCCAAACAGGATCTGAATGATGAAATAGGAATTGCCACATTTAACAGGAAAAAAAAAAAATAGGATAACCCAGTTGCCCAGACCTTTATACAATAACAGTTCGTCTGAGGTAGCGATGGGCTGCTTCTGCATGTTGCAGAGAGCAAAGCAAGCCACGTTGCCCAAAAGAAGCCTAGAAAATCCAGACTCTACGTGACCTGACTTACTTATTTCACAGGAAACTGCATGGAAGGAGGAAGGGGGGGCACGGGGGGGAAAGGAAAAAAAAAAAAACCCACCAATCATTCATGCTACCGTAGTTACACCACGCCATGGAGCGGAGTAGTTTGCTGCGAAAAACCAAACTGAAATAAGCCAAACCCCGTTTGGAAAATAAAACGCGAGCAGAGAACCGAGTTGGAGGAGCCCCCCGGCTCCCAAACCGCACCCGTTTCTCGGGTGTATTATTATTTTTTTTTTTTTTAATTTCGACGGCATTAGAGCACCACCCGAGAAGGCTCGCCAGCACTCACCGGGGTTGTTGGCCTCCCCTTCGAGGATGTGGAGCTCGGTGCAGTCTGCCAGGGAATGCTCGAGGCAGAGCTGGAGGAAGCGAGCCTGGGTCCGGCTGACGCGTTTGAGCAGGGAGAGCAGCGCAACAGTCTGCTCGCACTCGTTCCAGCCCTTGAACCACCCGGCCAGCACGCCAACCTGGTCTCGGAACATCATGGTGAGCCGGAGGGACAGCTCTGCGGGGAGAGAATAAATAACCGGGACAGCCTCCCTGCTGCCGCCACCGTGCTCGGGTCAGGGGAATTAAAAATAAAAATAATAATAATGATTAAAAAAAAAAATTCTCCTTTGCGACGCGAAGGGCGGGTTTGGTTTCTGGACGCGGCTCTCGGCCTGGGCAGGGTTTTGCTCCCTCTCTTCTGGCTCCGGTGCAGCGCTGGATTCCTGGAGGGAGGGAGCGAGGGAGGGAAGGAGGGAGGTGGTGGGGCCGAAAAAAAAAAAAAAAAAAAAAGCCAAAAAAAGGAAAATCCCAGCGTCAGGGCTGCAGCCAGCGAGGGGAACGACCTCCTCCCGGCGGGGGCTTCACACCTGGAACACAGAGAGGAGGGGGCGTCAGGGGGGCTGCGGGAGGACGAGGGGGATGGAGAGGAAGGCTCGCACTCAGCCCGCTGCCTTCCTCCCACTCCCCCACCGTCACCGCGATCCCCCCACATCCAGCACCGCCATTTGGGATGGGGGGGAGCACCCAGCACAATCCCCCCCCCACTGCAGCACAGCTCCCCCCCCCCGCCCCAAAAGTTCTCCCCCGCACACACACTCCGTATAAAAACACACTCACCTGACTCATAGCGGCCCCGGCGATCGGGGGAGGAGGGGGCGGCGCGGCGCTTTAAGGTGGCCGTGCCATGTCCATGGGATGAAGGGGGGGGAAATGAGGGAAGGAGGCGGGAAAAGGGAAAAGGGAAAGAGGGGAAGGGAGGGGGGGGGCGCGCGCGCGCTCCGCGGCGCGAGACTGAGCCCGGCCGCGCGCCGGGCCCCCGCTCCCCCATGTCGCTCATTTGCATACGGATGACGTCATCGGAGGGTGGGCGGGGCCGAGGCGCGCGGCGCAGGGGGGAGCCCGAGGGGGACGCGCGTCCCCCGTGTGTCCCCTCCGTGTCCCCCCCCCGCCATCTCTGCCACTCCCCCCGGGAATTTTGGGCGCTCCTCCTGCCCGGGGAATGCTGGAAAACACACTCCGGATCCCCTCCCTCCCTCCCTCCCCGCGCCGCGGCCAGCTCCCGCTGGAGGAAGCCACCCTCTAGTGGGCTGCGGGGTAATGGCAGCGGGGGATGCTTTGGGGGGAAAAGCGCCGCTGTGAGCTCTGCTAAATGTGGCCTCGTCCCCTAATGGTAATGTTTAAAACTTTTTTTTTCAGAGTTTGGCATATTAGATATACGTGTTAAATATACATGGATTTAACCCCGACAAGCGCCGAGTGTGCAGGGACAGGATTTGTGTTTGGGTTATCATTTCCTGTGCAGATTTTATTTCCCTTTCCCATTTCTCATTTATTTCCTTTCTTTTTTTTTTTTTTTTCCCATTTATTTCCATCCTATTTCAAGTGATAGAAATAATATGTATATACAAGAAGGGAAATGGTGGAGAAAAAACCCTAAGCACAAGTGTTTGCAAGAAGGCATCAAATACTGAACATAATCAAATATTTTATAAAGCAAAAATAAAGGTGTAAAGTGTCTTAATCTGTGGGCTTTTCATTTGTGGGAGTACCAGTCAGTTTTAAGCCTTTTCTTCTTGTCTTGTCACTCCAGGCTGTTGTCCAAAGTGTCTCCAGCTCTCTCAGAGCCCCTTTAGGAGTCCCCAAAACACCCGATCCATGCTCAGGAACAAGTGACACTGGCACAGGCTGCCCAGGGCAGTGGTGGAGTCCCCATCCCTGGGGGGATTTAAAAGCCATGTGGGTGTGGCACTTGGGGACAGGGTCAGTGGTGGCCTTGGCAGTGCTGGGGGAATGGCTGGACTCGATGATCTTAGAGGGCTTTTCCAACTTTAACAATTCTGTGATTCGCTGATTCTGCCTTTGCAGCATCTCCCAGCCCTCATCACTCTGAGCACAGGGAAGCTCAGAGCTGGGAGACGTGCCCAGGTGTCAGGACATGGTCTGGGAGGGAGACACGATGGGATCATGGCAAAGGGAGGGCTGAACCCCTCCACCAGTGAGTCACAGAATCACAGATCTTAAAGCTCATTTCATTCCAAACCCTGCCATGGCAGGGACAATTTCCACTGTCCCAGGGTGCTCCAAGCCCTGTCCAACCTGGCCTTGGGCACTGCCAGGGATCCAGGGGCAGCCACAGCTTCTCTGGGCACCTGTGCCAGGGCCTGCCCACCCTCATAGGGAAGAATTCCTTCCCAATATCCCATCCATCCCTGCCCTCTGGCAGTGGAACCCATTCCCCCTACTCCTGTCACTCCAGGCCCTTGTCCCAAGTCCCTCCCAGCTCTCTTGGAGCCGCTTTAAAAATCCATCCCCTACAAGTGTCTGTGTGCTCTGGTGGGGGCTGGAGAAAGGAAAATTCCATGTTTGTGCATCCTTTGGTTGCTTCTAAAGCTACACGTGTCTGAGTCTGGCCCTTTTGGGGGGAAAACAGTAGTGGGGAACCAAAGGCCACCCAAAATCACCTGGTGCCCTGTGCTGGAGCATCAATCCCACTGCAGGATGACGAGATGAGGATCACCAGGTAGACACCAAGAGCAAATGGTCCATCTCACCACACTTGCAGTTTGCTTTTAGCTCTCAGCCTGTCTGGTGACTAATTAAACAAACAGGACTTCCCTGCCAACACACCCCGGCCATCTGCCTCATCCTCCAGCTCCATCCCAGTCCACGCTCCAGCAGGGAGCCCCTTTGCCCTCACCTAGAGCGCTGGGAGCCCTCCTGCAGCCGGGGTGTGCTCTGGGCCGCCCGTGGAGCCGCGAGGATGCTCCATCTGCCGCGCCGGGTGCGCGTCTGGCGCGGGAGCACCGCGAGCTCCGGGTGGGAACGCTCACACCCCGCTGATTTAAGGGTTGCCAAGCTGGCTGTGCCAAGAACGCCTCCCAGGTTTTGCATTTTGCATGTCTAAAGTGGGAATAGCAGCGATGGGAAGGATATTTAGGGCTGAAGCAGTAAATGCATCCCGCTGGGAGGATGGGAAGGGCGGTGGGAATGGTGTCCCCCCACACCAGCAAGATGTGGAGGAGAAAAGGACCAAAGCCACAGTTTCTATCCTGTGCTCCAGGAGACACCAGGACCATGCTTACTAATTAATCCAAAAATAATCCCCCACCATTTAGGACCCTGCAGTTGCTGCTCCCCAGGGTGTCCCAAGGAGGCAGCTGTGGAGGAGTGAGACCCTGACGTAACAGCACACGCCTGATGTTTGGAGGTTTCTATGGTAATTAAAAAACAGATCTGTGACCCGTGGAAGAAATTCCTTGCTGCATTTCGGGCTCTGCAGGGCGGGTGCCCGTGCAGATCCGTGCGATGGAAGGATCCTCAAGCTGCCTGGGAGCAAATCTCCTTCCCTGACTGCAGTGGGGACATCACCAACACCAACACCCCCGTGGCCAGCTCTGTTCCCTGCAGATGGAGAATCCAGAGTGCAGCCCACGTGTCCTGGGAGCACAGACACCCCATCGAGAAGCAGAGTAGTTCTCTTTTATAAGGTAATTCCTGTGGGACCTTGGGGTCTCTGCAGATGCAGCTGGAGCATTTCTGCAGGGCTGCAAGTGCCTGGGTAGGAAGCAGAGGCTGTTAGTGGGACTGTCATTGTCTGTGGTGTTGTGGGCTGGGGTGGGTCATGGAATCACAGAATATCCTCAGCTGGAAAGGTTCATCCAGTCCAACTCCTGGCCCTGCACAGACACCCCAACAATCCCACCCTGTGCCTGAGAGCGTTGTCCAAATGCTCCTGGAGCTCTGGCAGCCCTGGGGCTGTGACCATTCCATGGGTAGCCTGTACAGTGCCCCACCACCCTCTGGGGGAAGAAATTCTCCTGATTATCCAACCTAAACCTGCCCTGACAGCTCCAGCCATTCCCTGTCACTGCCACTGAGAGCAGAGATCGAAGCTGCACCCTCCATGAGGTCTCCCCTCAGCCTCCTCCAGGGTCAGTACAGCAACATTTAGATTTCTGTTTACCATTTCAGAGGGAAAACAAGAGGTCTGTGGTTATATTAACCAAGCAGGTGGTCTAAGCAAATTAGTGAATCCTGACGATTCCCGAGTTCAAAGGAAGCAGTTGCTCATCTCTGTGGAAGCTATCTGATAACATATTTAGCTGAAGAAAGGATGAGTGTATCCACCAGCACACAATGGCCCAGATTTCCTAGCTCATTAAACCCAAATATTAGTGAAAATACCATGGTAAGCAGGCTGAGATAATTAAACACAACATCACTTCCATTTGTTCCTAAACACAGTGTGGGAATTGGCCAGTGGGATGGCAGCATTTCTCTTACCTTGGGTGGTGAAGTGGAGCTGTAAAATTCACAGAGAAAAACACCCTTCAAAAAGCAAACTCACACCAAAAAGAAATAGAATAAAGTAAAAAATAAAAATTAAACAATAAAACCTATATGGGTCTGTATTTCCAAACTGGATGAGACAGACATTAAAAAATCCCAGAATCCTTGGAGGATTTTGGTTGGAAGGGACCTTAAAGACCATCTTCCAGCCTTAACATGACCTTCCACATGGACCAGCTCCCAGTGTGGATGTACAACCACTGCTTCTGAAGCCCTGTTAGTAGAAATTGAAGTGTTGCACAGCCCAAATCCTGTGAAAGCAGCATGGGCTGACTCCTGTGATGCTGGAGGCAGTGATCACTGGGTGATGGAGGATGAGGGCTGTAGGAAAAGCACATTTAACCCTCTGGCTTGAGCTGCAGCCGCAGATCTGACAGGGAAAGAGGAGTGGCAGCATCTGGGTGCAAACACCTGGGGAAGGGAGCACTGGGAAATACTGGTGAGCATGGAAAGGCTGCTCTCATTGTGTTTGTTCAGCCATTGTCAAGGGGGTGCTGTGGGAAGATCCCATGTCCTCTCTGAAATGCTGGGAGAGCACGGACATTGCCTCTGCAGCAGTGTCAGCTCTGCCCTGCACGCTGGATGAGCTGGCTCACAGGGACCCCAGGGACACAGAGCCAGCAAAATAAATCAGCTTAACTAATGGTGCTCAAAAAACCACCCCTGGCAAATGTATCACAGGCTGCTCTCGTGCCTGGAGATGCCAACAGAGCGGTGATGAAGAGGAGCTGAGGGAGAAGGGGATGCAAAAAGGGTTGTGAAGGATTTCCTGTAAGTTTCACTGGGCTCTGCCAGTTTCAAACAACCCCTTGAATATAAATATTGCAACATCTGATCAACAGCAAGTGAGTATTTGCAGAATGTGCCTTTGCAGGACTGAGATCTCTGTGCATGTTGGCCTTCAGGGCAGCCTGGTTATCAGTGCTGGATTGTGGGGCTCTGGATGTCCCATTCCATCCTTTCCAGCCATTGGCACGGGCAGGGAGAACAGCTCCACTCACACCTGGCACGGGTCTGCACCCCTGAGTAGCTCTGGGCCCCTCTTCATGCACACCAACACCCCTAAAAGCCTGCCAGCACAATAACTCCCTGCACGGCTGTCTCCCATAGCCAGCCTCATGTTTACCTACAACACTTGCATTTTTCCAACCATTTCCAGCCAGCACTGAGAGCAGCTTGTTGTAGGACTTGGAGCTGACTGAGGCTGTGTTGCAAGCAGATGGCCCTGATGAAACAAGACACTGATCCCCAAGGAGGCACCGTGCAGCGGAGCTGCTCGACTCCCCGGCTCCAAGGCAGCCTTGGAAATGTGCATTAGCACGCACCATCGAGGAAATTGCTTCCTAACCACCCCTCTCAAGAAACTCTCTTTGGAAGCCTGGTTCCAGCCTGAGACACGTGTCAGCAACACTGATACTGTGGCAGTTTTCCTCGTTAGTTATTAATAATGGAGCAGCTGACAAAATTAGGGTATTTAGGAATATTGTTAGAGGAGAGAGGAGGAGTTTCCAGGCTGGGTGAGGGTTTAGGTGTAGCCAGGATGATGGGGTGGAGGAAAACCTCAGTGCTCACACTTGGTGGAATGGAAGGGGATCCAAATGTGAAAGACAAAAACAGAGGAATACATCCCTCATTGATCCTGCTGCTCCTGGCTGCAAACAACTTCAGCAAAATCCAGGGAAGTGCCATCTAGGGCTGGATGGACTAACAAGCATGTGTGGGCACAGCTGGAACAGATGTAAATAGAGATGATCCACTGAGACCTCTGAGGGCTGCTCTGCATCTTACCCAAGCCCTCCTAATGACAGAGTGTTGAATGCTGTGAAATTTGATGGAGACTTTTTCATTAAGAAGTTGGTGCTGAAAGGGAAAACTGGAGCTGGCAGACTCATTCACACATTTTTGTGTCTCTGGGAAGACACTTAAGAAAGACTGGGAAAGTTGCAGTCATTCTTCAATGGGAATTCACCAGCTCTTGGCAAATAGTCCTTTTTGGTCCTAGAGCAACATGTAAAGGTAAATTCTTTCAAGTGTCATTCAAGCTGTCTCAGTAGAGGAGGGTTTGGATGATACTGCAGCCACTTCAGCCAGGTTTGGTACTGAGCACCTGGGAGGAGGAGGAAGGCAGCAGCTGGGTCACAAATCCTGTGTCATGTATGGCAGAACCTGGTGAATGAAAATCCCTGCTTTTCAAGCTGTGCTGTGCCATAAATCACTGCCCTGCTCTTACTTGGATCAATGGAATGTGCTGCCCACAGGGCTCTGCTCACCCTGGCAAGCAGAGACAATGCCATGTCTGACTCCCTCAGGGCTCCTCACTTGCCATAATCATCCCCAGCCCTGCTGCCAGCAAGATCCCACCCCAGGCTCCCTCCTAGCTGGTGCTTTTTGAGCTGGCAGGAGAATTTTCCTCCTTGAAATTGAGGACCCTCACGAACTGGAATGAACAAACCAAATGTGGTGTCTGTGCTGCACGTGAGCAGGGAAGACACAACATCTGTATCTCACAGCTCTGCTGGCAGGAGGCTGATGCCTGATAACCCCTGGTAGAGCTCTGCTCTGCCTCCAAACCCAACAGCATCTGCAGAGTTACAGGGAAAAAAGAAGAGGATAACTATCAAAATAATTCACAAGTTAGCAATCCTCCCTTCCAGCCTGCTTGTCAAAGTATTGTTCATGAGGAGCTGATAGACACTGGAATAAAGAGTGTGGGGAGAGAGAAGTGATGCATTAGACCTCTCACCGGTCCCCTGACTGCAGCTACACTGAGAAATCTGCCAGGAAATATTACATGGGAAGTGGCTATGCAATGGGAGAGCAAAAATTATTAGGAACTGCCAAAATCCCTCAGCTGATGAAGACAAAAAGCTGGAGGAAGCATTTAAAACCTAGAAAAGGTTTTTAAGTACTAATCTTCTGCTGATAAAAGGTTGCTGCAAACTGAGGATAGAAAACACAGGTAGCAGCTAATTGTCCTGATAATTATTGCTGGTCCCACAGAAGCAGTTCTGGGATTCACTCAGATCTCAGGAGGATCCAGGCAGTGCAGGTGTTTTCTAAAGAATGGAAATCAGAAAATCAAAGAATGGTTTGGGTTGGGAGAGTGGGAGAGACCTTAAAAATCAGCTCATTCCAACCCCCTGCCATGGGCAGGGACACCTTCCACGTGAGCAGTTTGCTCCAAGTTCCACCCAGTCAGGCCTTGAACACTTGCAGAGGTGTGACAGAAATGCAAATCCTCCTGTCACAACTGTGACAAACATCCCAGTGTTGCCCTTTCTGTGTCTGAGGGCTGCATGTGCAGGGAGAAGGAACAAAAGGAGTTTTTTGGCTTTCCCAGGCCTGATGAAGGCTCAGTAACCTCAGCATGAATTTATAATGTCATCAATCTCCAAAATTCTGTGGGGGAAACACAAAGACTCCTCACTTTGGACATCAGACTCTGCTGATGGATTCATTTAGTCTTAAGACTGTGTCTACATATAGCATTTTTATTCTTTTAAATCATTCCCATTATGAGATGGGATAATTAAGGCAGGACCTCTCCAGCTCAGCTGCAGCAGCAGCCACACAAATGTGCCTTTATGTTGGTGTTGCACATTCCCAGGAGTTTATGGAACCCAACCAGTGTCAGGCCCTTTTTACAGCTACATCCACACTGCACTACAAGCTCTTGTCTCTCCACACACACTGCTCACACAGAGTGAGTAAAAGCAACACAGAAACAATTTGCAGAGCTGCCCCAAGTGACTCTGGAGTGCTCAGCAGACACTTTCTGTCCCTCTCCGTGGTTCTGGGGGCTGTTGTGGCAGGTCCTGCAAAACCTGGGACTCTCTAGTGCTCAGCTGTGGCCTCATAGCTGTGCTCAGGTTTGCACCTGCATCCCTGTGTGCCATCAGAAATGGTGGCAATACCAAACTTACCCAGAAATAAACCCCTAATCCAATTTTCTCTTTTTTCCTGCCCAGCAAATTCCAGCAAGGTAACGCCAAGCCTTTCTACCAGCTCAGTTCAGAGAACTTCTGCTGCAGCAGATGGAATTCAGCTGTCCCTGGCATTAATTACATCAGCTCCACACACACAGGACACCAGGGACAGCCTCTGCAGGGGCTGCACGTCCTCTGCAGTGACAGAGGCCACTCCTTGTTTACTCTGCATGTGAGGACAGCTGAGCAAGTGGTGATGGTGCCTGCAGAGACCTCCAGTGACAGATGTCAGCCCCAGACCTCCCTCACCTGGCAGAGCTTCCTCAGGGCACAGGGAGCCCCAGCAAGGTGCAAATCAGCAGGAGAAACTCACCCAATTCCTGTCTGCTCTTACCATACTTGAAGTTTGATGGTAGCATATAAATGAGGCATTTAAATCAGATGCACACAGAAGCTCATCTTAAAGCTGAACAAGACATGCACCTGGGCAGCCTGTGGACAGTCTCACCACTCTTGCAGTGAAGAATTTTTCCCTGATATCCAATCTAAACCTCCCCTGCTGCAACTTGAGGTGTTCCCTCTTGTCCTATTCCTTGTTTCTTGGGAGAAGAACCAACCCTCACCTGGCTGCACCCTCCTGTCAGGGAGCTGTACAGCAGCCACCTGAGCTGATGTGGATTTTCCCTACAACCATTTCCCCTCTACTTAGGAGGCAGATAAGGCAGAAAGAAGATCCTAACACAGCAACACTTCCTCCAGAAGGAAGATGCCCATGTCACAGTCCATTGGCGCTTGGAAAGACACCTTGGGACATCCCTAAATAGCACCACTGTCTGATCAATCCATCTGCAAGCCTCAGCTCTGATTAGGGCTGATGCATCAAAGCAAACCAACCTCTCCTGCAGCAAAAAACATTATGAATCTGAAACACCCCAGTGCTGCTTAAAAGAACCAAGTCCCATTGCCAGAAGTCTTCCAATGTTCCTTGGTGCCACCAAAACCATAAACATCATCTATAACGAGCAGAAAAAGAATGTTATACCACCTCTATTACAACAGGGTGACAGAGCAGAACAGCCTCTGTCAATACACTGTGTTTTTGTGGGTCACAGGAAGGTTTTATTTCTCTCTTTCAGCTTTGAATCCCTGCTTTAAGACAACCAAGGGAAACACTGGACAGCTTTAGAGCTGCTCCTTTTCCTTCTCACCTGATCTGTATTTTGGCATGGCTTCTCAGAAGAAGGACAAATGTAATGAGGCAGCTACTGTACTTTTTATAACTCTCATCAGGTCTTTCATTTGGGCCAGCAAGGAAGCTTGTTAGAGCAGAGAAAGCAACTAAGCATCTCTGGAAAATGCTATTAAAAGAGCAAGTAACAAATGAAAAGCTGGGACAGACTTAATGGTAAATACATGGCCTGGCAGATCAGCACAGCTCCATCCTGCCTGCATTATTATTTAATACTGGCATCGACTGAAAGATGAGGCAGACCAGGCCATTCTCTGTGGGGTTGCTTGAACACCATTTCATGTGAGATTAAATAGGCCCACAGGTCTGGATCATGCTGTTTGATGGGAGATTTTAATTAATTGATTAAATATCGGTGACTCCAGCGGTGGAGCAGTAAACCACACCTCCTTCATCATCTCTGTGGGCAAACAAGTGCCTGCTAATTGTCAGTGGCCAGCTCCAGGCTGGAACAGCACAGCATTACCCTGCTCCTCTGGGATAACAAACTGCCCAGCCACTGTCCCACGTGCTGGGGGAGCTGCTGGTGTGGAATCAGGCACAGCTCCAACCCCACACACACCTCAGGGTGTCATTTCTAGTTCATACACAATGCAAACAGCAGCCTGGTTTGTCCAGCACTTTATTCCCAAGTTGTCCCTGGCCAGGATGGTCATACACAGTCAAACAACAGCCTGGTTTGTCCAGCAGTTTATTCCCAAGTTGTCCCTGGCCAAGATGGTCACACACAGTGCAAACAGCAGCCTGGTTTGTCCAGCAGTTTATTCCCAAGTTGTCCCTGGCCAGGATGGTCACTTTATTATCTTACAACCAGGCTGCTGATCACTGGCAGGGAATCTGTGGCTATAGGCATCAATTCCCCACATCCATCTGTCCTTACAACTAACCATTACTCTTCCCAACAGCACCACCTAAATCTTTTCCTCAGATGTAATTGCCAGGAGTTCAGAAGCAGGGTCACAGCAAGCAATATAAAAAAAGAAGCATGGAAAGGTGAACTTGGAATACCTTGGAGTGGGGAAAGCTTCCTTCCCTGGTTTGGAGGTGTGCAGCACCTTGTGTGTACCCTGGAGCTGCTGGAGAGCAGAGCTGAGGATCTGGAGCACAGCTTTCCCTGCCTGAGCAGCTGTCCTGGAGCTGGATGTGGAGAAAAGCTGCAAGGGAACAAAAGGGAGGACAGAAAGCAGCTACTCCCCATCTCTACAGGTTCTAAGGAGCATTTTCCCTTATATGAGCAGATGTGAGACTCAGCCCATTTGTCCTTAGGAGAATTTGTCTCTCTTTAAAGAAACAAACCACTTTCTTTTCTCAACAGGCATTTTTATTGCTTTTGACAACACACCACTGGAGTGAAAGGAAATAATTTTCTGCTATTCTTTAGCTTCTTCCTTTGTTAGAGCAGGTACATTTACATTTCCTGGGACTATTGATAAGGGTAACTGGTTAACTTGTTACTGATCATCCAAGCTGACCATGCAAGTGAAAAGAGTTGGAAATCCTTCAAAGCACCACAAAGCTGCCACCACTCTGGAGAGTAATTAACCAACATTTGCATGGAGAACAAGTTCTTACAGGCACTGCCAACAAGACTGAAAGTCTGTGTCACAAGATGTCATCGCAGGGGCTCAGGCTTGAAAGTGTCATCAACATGCAGTTCAAGAATCATCAACAAAAATCTTTCCAAAGGGCTTTGGCTGAAGGCCCTCACACACAAATCCTCCAAACCAGGCAGAAACAGTGTCCTGAGCCCCACCTTGAACCCCCAGCTCCTGCCACAGCCCAACCTTCTGCTACAAAATAAACACACACAGGGTTAACGCTGAAGAATATTTACTTTCCTTCATATGGTACATTCTGTAAAGTGCTAAGTTCCTAAATTATACCGAGTTAAAATGATATACAGCTCTAGTATTTTAAACACAATAAATATAGAATGAGCCTTGGGCAACTGCACTTGCAAGTTTTATTCTTTTTTTAGTAGACAGCCTAAATTTAGTAGTCAAAATAGCCTCCAACAGTGCTCCAAGAAAATCTAGGAAGCAGTTATAAATAAATTCACATCCTTCGGAGCTATCCCACGCACTTCTCCTGTCCACATTGCACGGGGAAGCAGCGCTCCTGTGAGCATATGGAGCGAGGAAAAATAAGGAAGCTGAAAATTACCCAACAAAAAAAAAGCAAAATCCTACAAGTTAACACTACATATCCTCCCATAAATAGTCTGGCTTCCACATTTAATCTTAGTGCACATAACCCAGGTCTTTTATTTTTAACTCCTGTTAAAAAACTCTTCCAGGAAGAACATCTTGCAAGACACGGGTCGACTCATCCTCATCTTGCTCCTTTTTGCTGCAAAGTGGAAAAGACTCCTGCACGAACTGCCTGCACATGGGGCACTGCTGGAAATACCTGATGCAGCCATCACACAGGCACGTGTGTCTGCAGGGCAGCAGGACCCAGTTCACAGGGCCATTCTGGCACACCACACAGTCTTTGCTGTTTTCTTCCTGCAATTCTGGTTCATCTCCAGCCAGCCCAGCCTTTTCCAGCAGCCCTCTGTCAGTGCTGCTCTCACCAGGGAAGGTGTCACTGCAGGAGGGTGCAGGACTATTTGCAGACATGAAGAGTTGCTAAAATACACATAAACACAAATATTTAGGAGTGAACAAACTCTTCCCCAATCTCTGCACATGCACAGGTGCAGTGGAAGTGCCACTGGATCCATTCACTGGGTCAAACAGTGCCAGACTCTGTGGGGGTCCTGGCAGCTGCCTGCCCTCCAGTTAAAGGCATTTCAGAAACAAGAAATTACATAAAACAGTGGGAAAATAATAAAGATAAGTCCTCAGACCTTGGTTGTATCAAATCAATGTCATGCATGAAATTTAACAGAAGTGCTCAGGTTTTGAGCAGCTCGGGTTTGTTTCTGGTCCATCAGTCTCTGTGCCTAGAGGGATCCTCTATCTGTTCCTACCAAAATTATATCCACCATGCTGTCAAATCTGCTTCACTCAACCCATTCTGCTCTTGCTCATATTCCAATCCCCTGCTCCTTTTTTCGTCTTATTTTACATGAAGCGCAAATTCTTCTGGGCATGATTCCTAAGCATAGTGCAAGAAAAAGGAATTTTAAAAAAGTAAATTTCTTCTGAGGCTCTCCTGATTAAAAGGGAATTTTGAAGAAAGGAAATAGCAATTCTAGAAAGAAGAAGCATTCAACAGTGATTTTTTTCCTACTGCTTTACTAAGTGGACACTAGGACTCCTAGATTAGAAGCAGTTCATTTCTCTGGGAAATCTTGAATATTTTAATGGAAAATATTTCTGTACAGTAAGTTCCTGTGGCACTACTTAACTGATAAAATAATTTCAACTACCATCCAGTTCTTTGCATGACAATAGAAGTCTTGTACTAATTTAGGCTCCTGAAAGCCTACACAAGCTAAAGTTAACACTGTCATACACATGAAACCAGACTCCGTGCGTGGCTTACCTTCAGGTCATGGTATTGACCTTGAGCTAGCAGGAGATACTGATACAGAATTCGGCAGGAGAGTCTGTAGCTTTCATCAGGAACGTGAATTACAGCCACCATTGCAATCTACAAACAGAAAAATATTCTGTGTTTAATAACCTTAGCACTCAGGCTGAGAGAACTGGGGGTGTTCACCCCAGAGAAGAGAAAGTTCCAGGGAAACCTTAGAGCCCCCTCCAGGGCCTAAAGGGGCTCCAAGAGAGCTGGAGAGGGACTGGGGACAAGGCATGGAGGGACAGGACACAGGGAATGGCTCCCAGTGCCAGAAGACAGGGTTTGATGGGATTTTGGGAAGGGATTCCTGGCTGTGAGGGTGGGCAGGCCCTGGCACAGGGTGCCCAGAGCAGCTGTGGCTGCCCCTGGATCCCTGGCAGCGCCCAAGGCCAGGCTGGACAGGGCTTGGAGCACCCTGGGATGGTGGAAGGTGTCCCTGCCATGGCAGGGGGTGAAATATGATCTTTAAGGTCCCTTCCAACCCATATTATTCCCCGATTCTCTGTTTTGCTTTGGTACAGCTCCTGACCTGCTTAATTCCTTAGACAATCAGGAATTCAACAATGTTGACTTGAAGCACTGATGAAAAAAAAATAAATTACAGTGGACAAGGGATAAACAGGATGTGGCACAAGAGAGCCCCTGGTGCTCCTTCAGCTTCCCCATGGAGCTCTTCTGTGGGCAGTTTACAGCAGAGCCCTGCTCTGCCTGCTCCCACCTCGTGGAATTACACCCCAAACTGCAAAGGCACCTGAGCAATCTTCTCCACTTTCTCCCCTTCCCTCAGAAACACACAGGCTGCAGTTTTTAGACTCCAAAAATCACTAAGAAGTGATTGGCTTGTAATCTGAGCAGGCAAAAGACAAATTTCACTGGAAAGGATTCTGAACCCCCATGGGCTGACTTCAGATAATTCCTCTGGAAATACAAGCACTCCAAGCTTGCATGCTGTGCCTAACCACCCCCACCCTGCCCAAATTACGTAATGGCCTCTAAAAAGCTGGGAAAAAAGAAAGTGAAATTCAATATTATTGTAGTTCCCAGAAGCTGTCAAAAGAGAAATGAAATATAGAAGCTGTTTTGCTTTAAAAAGAAATTTAAAGGCAAATTAGACTTGCACTTCAAAATCCACACATGGCTAATTAAATACAGAGTTCAAATGTGTATGTACCTACACATATGGATTTATAAGAACTGATTTCACTATTCCTTGGCAAAAGGGTCTTTTTTTTCTTTTCTAAATCACAGTGCCTGAGATCTAAGCTTCCACTTTAGCCATGACAGTCTTCCAGTAATTTCTGTACATTTATATATGGTCATGCTAATTTTCTGGATCTAGAGGAAAATGATGGCACAAAACCAAGTAGGGATGATCTTGCCACAAAACCAGTTAGGATAAAAATCAGATTACCCCCTCCCAGGAAAGAATCACTGAAACAGCATCCACAGTGATGGACACCCACACAGACCCCCCAGATATAATTCAAAATGGTAATATCACACTGGCAAGGATCCATTTCCACATTCCATTTCTATTTTACAAGTTTGTTTCAACAAACCAGACCCAATTCTGACATTTGCCTGGCAAGGAGTTCAAGTGGAGTTACTCCTGACTGGATTTACAGATGTGTTCCTTTCCTCCAAAACCAGAGGAAAAATACCTCCATCACTCTCTTTCACCCCTTTCTTCTATGTTAGGGCTCAAAAGAGAGGTGTTACAAATTCATGCCCATGCTAATGTCAATTACATTCAAATATTACATTTAGAGTCTCTATAAAAATGTATTAAAACATTAAAACATCTCAAGGGGACAGGAGGGCAGTCCTAAAGTCAGGTGACAAGAAGCCAAGGACAGCCATCACTGGAAAGGGGACAGATTTCTCAGGCACTGGTGTGATTACAGCTTGCAGGTGAATGCATGGAAAAGTGTTCAGTGGATTCAGGAAATTTGCTTCTGAATTCAGTTGTGCTACTGTTAAAGGAGCTGCTGCAATCAGATTACCAATCCAATGGAAAGATGGAGATAAAAGTGTGTCTCAAATCACTCAGAGTTCACCAATTTAGAGTTTCTAAAGGGTATTGAACAGCATGTGGCAAGGCTGAAGCTGCTCTAATAGCAAGAGATTAGGAGGAGAGCCTTTTTGAGGAGCTGAGTATCTCCCATCCGCCCCAAGCCAGACTTTCACCCCTTCCTGGAAGTGCCCTGGAGTTGGCTCCTGTGAGACACCACCATGACACAGACCTGGGGCAGAAAGGTAATTTCTAGGTTTCTAATAGCCAAGTCAGCAATCAGCTCCATATCTGTGCCAGACACTTACTAAAAAAACCCTCCTGCCTTGCCAACAGAATCCAAGAATCTGTGTAAGTGCAAGAGCTCCACCACATGCCTGTGGGATCCCAGAATTCAGAATAACAGGTTGCTAAACTGCCCCAACCCTCATTCCTCAGGGACATTGGCAGGCTGAAGCTTTGGGGAAATCACAACCCTCTTTCAAATGCTGTAGTGAATAAATAAAGAGTAAGCAATGTTTCTCCATTGCCTCTTCAAAGACTGAGGTTTGGAAGTTAAAGCTTTGAACTGCTTTATTTTAGAAAATAAGAAAGTGAGGGACCAAATTCTAAGGAACAGGAAAGTGAAGCTGCTTTTTTCAAGCCTCTCTCCCATTCAGACCTTAAGCACAGTGACCCTGAAATATACTCTGATATTACTTACAATATCATATATTTCTCTGTCCTCTTCATCTGCTAACGTCAGCAGTGCTACCAAGGGATAGCGAGCTCTAGGCACGGGGCCAAAATCCACAACTTGAGCATCTTCTGCTAACTGACAATATTTCTCTGCCTTGTCATTTTTTTTAATGGTTTGCCTGTGTCAAGGAAAACAATCAGTGGTTGCAATTGCAGACAAACATGACGTTTGCATAAAGAACATTTCTCATTGTGTTTGCTCATAAACGAGTTGTGCCAAAATCTGCAGCACGTTTACCATCCCCAATGCTCCCCGTGCCAAAAAAATCAACATATTTTGTCAAAACAATTCAAAAAAAGGATACAAGTACTGCTGTTTGTAGAGGTATTCGTTGTAGAGAGCATCCTCTAATGCCTGAGGAGTCTTTATCCTGAAGCAGTAGACGTGTTTCTGCAGAGCTTCGTGGAGTTTCTGGACATTGCAGCCCCAGTAGCAGGTAAGGACACAGTCCTCCAGGCAGTCAGGTGTCAGTGTTACGCCCCCTTGGAGAAAGGAGAGGGATTTCATTAACTCCCCACGTGCAGGAATCCTGGAATTGCTAACTCTAGATGCTTGAAGGGCTACAGGCAGAAAACACCTTCAGTGTCACAGATTTTTATCACAGAACCATAAAATCATAGAATGGTTTGGGTTGGAAGGGACCTTAAATCTCACCTTGTTTCATCCCCTGCCATGGCAGGGACACCTTCCACTATCCCAGGGTGCTCCCAGCCCTGTCCAGCCTGGCCTTGGATCCAGGGGTAGCCACAGCTGCTCTGGGCACCCTGTGCCAGGGCCTCATCACCCTCACAGGGAACAATTCCTTCCCAATCTCCCATCCATCCCTGCCCTCTGGCAGTGGGAGCCATTCCCTGTGTCCTGTCCCTCCATCCCTTGTCCCAAGTAACTCTCTATGCAACCCATGCCTGGGTTTCACCGCCCTCACAGGGAAGGATTTCTTCCCACCATCCCATCTATGCCTGCCCTCTGGCAGTGGGGAGCCATTCCTCCTTGTCCTGTCCCTCCAGGCCCTTGAAGTCCCTTCTAGGCTCCCTTCAGGTACTGAAAGGCTGCAATCAGGCAACCCCTAAAATGCTAAAAATTACAAAATAACAAAAATAATTTATCATTATAAACAAATCTTTGGACAATTTAGATTCAGCTTAGTGTTTATGGAAGTCAGTGGGGATGAGGAGATAAAATGGCTGATTAAGCTCACAAAAATACCACATGCATTTTATGAATGGTAAATTTTAACTTCTGGTAACACTTTAGACACTCATTGGCAGATCCAAGAGCACAACCTCAGCCCAAAGTCCATTCCCTCCTGAGATAATGGCAGTAATTAGATCACTCATCTACAAAACTCCCTGGGCTCTCAAAGAATAAGGCTCTGGATCATGCAGAGGGAGGAGTACAAGGGCCTCTGTGCTCCCCATTCTTTTTTCAAAAAAACTTCTAAACACTTCCTGCACAAACAGGAGCAGGAGAGCTCAAAGCTCCTGAGAAATCCCAGCTACCTGAATTGTTGGATTTGTTGTGGTGGGGGTTTTATGTTGAGGGAGGGGAAAATCTGCTGCAGCCCCTCCTCATGCATGGGAAGGCCCCACAGCTGTGTGGGTGCTCAGCCTTGCTCACTGCTCCCCAGTGATGCAGGACATGAATTCCTCTCTGGGAGATTTCAGGAATGATGGGGTGGCTTGAACTCTGATCCAAACAGATATTTAAATTCAGTTTCCATTGGAGAACAGATAGAAAAAGAGAGTGATGATTTATTTTTCTATTTATTAAAAATAGTGCACTTCCAAACACTGCTGAAGATCTGGGCTTAGATTTAAGTGGGTGGCACATGTTCCATAATGAATTCTGTACAATTCTACAATTCCATGAAATTTATAGAAACGCCCACAGTGGTTGGTAATTTGCAAATGTTTTAGTTACTTAAAGATCTGTAATAGCAGGAAGTGCTCCATTAATGAGAATTAAAATGCACCTTCATATCCAAACATTTCACATTTAAAAACACCACATTTATAAACTGTGTAAAAGCTTATTTCTGTTGGAATGGAAGTGTATTTCTGAGGAATTGTGATAGAGAAAAAGGATGAGAGCAAAAAGATGATCTTTAAGGTCCCTTCCAACCCAAACCATCCTATGATTCTAGGCAGAAAATGGAAAGTACCAAGTTCAGGAATGCAAATTGACAAAAACCATGTAAGAAATCAACTGACTTGTTACTGAAGCTGCAGCAGGATTATGGATCTCCAACCCAAAAGGATTTTTCACTTGTCTCATCCGCTTTTTCAATACCCTTGTGCTGGATTCTGCCTCTTCTGAGTTCCTCAGAATGACAGGAACACCCAAACCAAACCTAGGAGACACAAAACAAGAATGAATGGGTTCAGTGTTAGTGTTGAAATGTTTGATTTTTTTTTTGTCAGTTCTAAACAGCAAGCAGCAGAACAAACAGAGGTAACTTGGCTTTCCAGAGTATCTGCTAGGATGCATGGATAATACATCCTGCCATTTGGACTTCAGCTGTTTGTCAGAAGGCACGAGTCTTCACAGTGACGCAGGGAATCTTTAAAGGGGGAATATTTTGCTCTGGGTTTCCACAAAGGGAATAAAATGAATGAGAGTTGTCGGTGCCCTCTAGTGGTAAAGGCTTAGGCCAGAATTTGCTCCCGAGTCCTGCAGAAGTGAGCACATTCCCGCTCCTCCCGTGAGCAGGGACACTTTGCACCAGCCCACGCTGCTTCCAGCCCCATCCAACGCGGCCTTGAACAATTCCAGGGATGAGACAGCCACAGCTTCTCTGGGCAGTCGGTGCCATGGCCTCATCTCCATCACAGCCAAGAATTCCTCCCCAATATCCAACTCAAGCTGCTCTCTGTCCGTTTAAAGCCATTCCTTCCATGGAAACATTTGCACTTCATCAGTGGCATCATCGAAGGCTCTCGGCCATGACTGATTTGAGCACAGCTCCCTCTGCCATGAGGGAAAACACCCACAGTGACATCCCTGGGGCTGCAGGGGAGGGAATATCCCAGTTAAACATCCCACAAAGAAACCTGAGGCAGCAGCTGCTTCCCTTCTCCAATACCCAAACCTTATCAGAGCCCATCTCTGCAGCCCTGTTTTATACCAGAATCTGCCTGATTATGGCAGAAAATCCCTCTTCCTTGGAAATTTTCTTCACTGGATGAAAGCAACAGGATTATCCTCATGAAAAGCAGCAAGATAAAAGAGCCTCTGGCACAGTTCTAGCAGCAGCTGAAGGCATGGAGGCCTTTCTGTTCCCCAGTCAGATGTGGTTTTCTGTAAATTTTAAGTGTACAAAGGATGAATAAAGATACAGGTTTTATTTTATGATCTAACAGTCCAGATCATTAGCTGGTAGAGGAGAACATTAATTTATTCAGAGCAATGCTACCTTAGAAAAAGCAGGATTTTCCAAGGGTTTAGTTAATGAATTAATGTTTCTGCAGAGCCAACAGGGGCTGAGCCTTCAGCTCCACCCAACAGGAGCATTCCCCTCCAGCTAAAAAGACAATGCCCAGGTAATCAATGTAAATTCCACCTCACCCCTGTGCCCAGGGCACCTGTGGGACTGGCTCTGGAAGCTGCCTGTGCATTAACCTACTTGGACAGTGAGCAGAGCCACAGGCACGCAGAGCTGACACAGGAACAGACACTCCTCCCATCCCTGCAAGGCCTGACCAATGAGAACATGAACATTCCTCAACAGTCAGTGCTCTTCAGGCTGACTGACACCAACACAGACACATCATTAAAGAAATTAATGCTGAAAATTAGGGGGGAGCCCAAATGCCACTGCAGCAATAGAACAGGTATGTTGTGCTCCAGTGGCAACATTTGCAATTACAGTGCTCTGTGTGGCAAATGAAGGATTTGAGTTGTTTTCCTGAGCAAGTTCAGGAGCACTCGAGCTGTAACTGCACCTGCAGGCACGGGAAAATCCCTTGGAGGCTCCTGGACATGGCCATGGCACAGGAGAGTTCCAAGGGAGCAGCAAATACCTCTGAGCAGCTGCCCACACATTCACCTGCTGGTATGTGCTGAGCTCCTGGCTACAGCTCCTCCTCGATTAACAGGCCCCAAGTTTGAAGAAAAAAAATGCATATATTTCCATAAACTGCAGTAACACCTAGTGCAGGTGCAACTGGAATCTCTGATCCTGAAAAAAAAAAAGCCTTTGGACAGTCCTCTGTACACCCTGTACCCAAAAACACCAGTGCATACAAGTTAGGATCTTGTAGCACATATCTATTTCAGACCTTTTCAAGCAGGGACTGCCAGAATTTACCACAAGTAGATAAATAATGATTAAACTGGCAAAAGGATCAGTGGATAGAGATAGATGAAGATTCATCTAAATCATGGCTCAGTATGATAACTTTTTAAAGATACCTTTATCACCAGCACTTTGCAGATATTAATGTGGAACCAATGAGAGGAAGTTCAACAACTCCAGTTTTATTTTCACCACAAGCCACACAAATCTGCTGTAGCCACAATTTCTACATGAAAGATTTTGATTGCCAATCAATGCTCTGCTCCTGGCAAGTACCAGTATTTACATTTACAGCCACTTCTGAGGGTTAGGGACATTCAAGGAGCTGCTTCTGAAAAAGGCAACAGCGGCATTTCTTCGTCATCCTCTCAAACACAAGCAGAAGCCCTTTCACTCACCGCCCCTCGAGACACTTCAGGAGTTCAGTTCACAGATTCACAGAATCATGTATGTTGGAAAATAACCCGGCTGCACCCAGGGAGCTGTGCAGGGCCACAGGGTCCCCCTGAGCTTCCTTTGCTCCAGGCTGAGCCCCCCCAGCTCCCTCAGCTGCTCCCAGACCCTTCCCCAGCTCTGCTCCCTTGCCTCGATACACACACATATCTTAGTACACACAAACGCATTGTTTGCCAGTATTATGAATGATATTACGAAAAGCATTAAGAAAACACTTCAGTATTACTAAAATAGAAACGAGCTTAACAGAAATACGTATAATTTCTTTTTTAAAAAAAAACTTTTTTGCTCGTTTAGAAGCCTAGGAGTGTTTGGGCTTGAAGGGACCGTTCCAAGCCGCTACCGTGGGCCTGGCCTTGCTCCCCCTCAGCACAGCCCAGGCCCCCTCGGCCGAGCCCCACCGACCCCCGAGCACTGACCAGCCGAGAACGAGCGCGCTGGTGACGAGGAAGCAGACGGACACCAGGGCGATGTAAAACAGCGGCGAATACTCGTACAGCGTAACCAGGAACACGGCAGCCATCGGGCTGGCCGCGCCGCCCTCAGCCTGCGACTGAAGCCGCTGCCCTCAATGTGCCAGGGACGGGGTGGAGCCATGGCGGCACAGAGTGAAGGCGCTGCCCTCAGTGTGCCAGGGACGGGGTGGAGCCATGGCGGCACCGAGTGAAGCCGCTGGCCTCAGTGTGCCAGGGACGGGGTGGAGCCATGGCGGCACAGAGTGAAGGCGCTGCCCTCAGTGTGCCAGGGACGGGGTGGAGCCATGGCGGCACCGAGTGAAGCCGCTGGCCTCAGTGTGCCAGGGACGGGGTGGAGCCATGGCGGCACCGAGTGAAGCCGCTGGCCTCAGTGTGCCAGGGACGGGGTGGAGCCATGGCGGCACAGAGTGAAGGCGCTGCCCTCAGTGTGCCAGGGACGGGGTGGAGCCATGGCGGCATCGAATGAAGCCGCTGGCCTCAGCCTGGGACAGGGCAGGACCATGGCAGCCACAGGGTTCCAGGGAATCAAAGTATCATTTGTATCCATAGACTTGTAACAATATTGATTGTTTCTATCAATTCCTATATTTATAGCCATTATATATTCTATGACATCTATTACATGAAATATGACCTATACATTTTATAGAATACAGGTTACAATATACTCTTATGTTACAGTAGTAAATTATACCATATTATATATCATATACATACACATATTTTATGTGATGGACATATAAAATACATATATTTAATATAATACACTACTACGTAATATGTTTTTGCAATACAAATGGAAAAAAGTGTAATTCCTGACTAATAAATTTATATTCCCATCCAGTAAAACTCTACCTCATTTTTCTAGCTTTTACGTCTTATAATTGAATATTATTACACATAATACGAGTAAATTTATTGTACAACTGAATTGTTCAACAAAAAAAAGTTATCTAGATAAAATAAATATATATTGTTATTTCTAAACTTTTCCCCTATTGCAATCCAGGCACATCAGTCTGGCCCAATCCTCTTTCAAATACCTCCATCCAGGACCAAGTGCAATGTTATGGCAGGGAAAAGCACTAACAGATGCAGTTATTAAAGATACGATAAAGAGATGGAGCGGATTGGGGCAGGGTGTGTCAGGAGCCCTCAGGCTCTGCCCCGGCGCAGGGCTGTGCGCTGGCTGCTCACAAAGATGTGCGGCTCGCCTTGGCCAGCCCAAAGAGCATCTCCAGCAGGAAGCTTTTCTTCACACAGGCCACGGCCTGGGCTCCTCCAAAAGCCTGCCCTGCCTACCTTCAGTATCTTGTTTGTGCCCCTATTCATTTGAATCAGCCGGGCCATTTGCTTTTCCATTGCTTTCATTGTCCGGCGCATTTGCTCCATTTCTTTGAATCTCATTTTAACGAGCCGCCTTCTCTGCTCAGTTTTGATCTTCCTCCTTCTGGCCACTTCCTGAGCTCGCTGGGCCGCTGCTCTCTGCCTTGTGGCCGCCCTTCTGCGCCTGAGCCACCACCCCACAAGCATGAGCAGTGGCTGAGCAATTTGTCAGATCTGGGGCAGGTAACGCAAGGCAGCCAGGAGCCAGGGTCCCCAGCCAGGCTCAGGTGGCTCTGCAGGTGCCGGTGTCACCTCTTCTACAGGGTGCTGGTACCCCAAGGCAGCCAGGAGCCGGGAACCCCAGCCAGGCTCAGATGGCTCTGGGAGGGTCGGTTTCTGATTCTCTGCATGGTGCTGCTCATCTCCATGAAATCTGTTCACCACAGACAGTGGGAACGGGAAGATGAGCAGCACAAACACAGCCAGGACTGCTTTTTCTGCCATGTTCTGCAGGAGGAGAGAGACAAGGGTTTCAGTGGGGCTACCAAGGGAGCTTGGGGGATGCAGTGAGGCCCGGAGGCGCAGGGATGTGAGGGCAGGGAGCAGAGGGACCCAGGCAGCTGGCAGGCAGCAGGGCCTGTCCCAGTGGGCCAGCAGCAGCCCCGTGCCCTGGCCAAGGCACCGGCCCCAGGGGCCGGCCCTGGATGCAGGGGGACAATGCAGGCCCGGCTGCGGCGCTTGTGCCCCGGCCCTGGCCCAGCACAGCCCCTCCACGTGCGCACTCACCGCTTGCCCAGGCTGTGCTGGGCCAGCGTTCCCTGTGGGGGCCTTTTCCAGCTGCCTCCATTGTGACACGCTGCCCCTGATGTCACAGGGGCCAGGGGCATCACAGCCGGGCCAGCCCTGCCCTTGGTCCCCAGCCCAGCTCAGGGGCTCCCTGTGGGCCCAGCAATGAAAGGCCCGGCACCCAGCAAGCGCAGCCCCTGTGGGAGGGAATGGGCCCCAGGGGCTCCCTGCACAAAGCAGGCAGAAGCACCTCTTGCTGACCTCTTGTCAAAGAGAAAAACATATAACCACTAATGTTGAATATGTTGCATAATATCAACAATGAAAGCACCAGAAGTGCTTTTCTCAAAGTGCTTTCTGAGTGAGATTCAGGGGGGCTTGCTTCAGTTTTTTCTTCCTTGATTATTCCTGGATCCAGCCCCTCCAAGACCTCTGTGAAACCTTCCCATTATCAGACAAAAGAGATAAGGAACTTTAGCCACAACACCTCCTGCCTCCTTCAGATCAAGAAGCAGCCAAGGAGCAGTTCTGGCAGACAATTTGTGTGGCTTTGCACAAGAGTTGAACCCCTGTGTTATTAGGGAATGCTTGCTCCTGTTGTGCCAAAATGCTCGAGCAGGGGTGAGAATCTGGTGTCAAAGTGCGTTCATGTGCTCCATGTTGCACAGGACACCCGTGTGCAGGAATACAGAAAAATTCCCTCAGAAGGGATCTGGTGTAGCAAGGACCCCTCTGGTTTTCTCCTCCATGGAGCAGTTGGATGCAGAGTGTGGGCCCATATTACCTCAGCATCGTCCTCCTCATCCTCGTGGTCCCCTTGTAGAGCCAGAGCCCCTGTGTTCTGTCAGGGCCCCTGGGCAGGTGGGACATTCCCAGAGGAGAGGGCCCTGCTGTGTCCCCATTCCCCCTGTCCCTTATGTCCCTGTGTTCAGGAGGGCACAGAGAGGATGGGGACTCCTGCCTGCCCCGTGTCCTGGCTGGCTGTTAGGCCTGTCCCAGGCTGTGATTCCTGTGCTGTGTCCCCCTGTCCCTGCTGGCCCTGCTGTCATGGCCCACTGCAGCGTGCCACACCCTACACAGCCACGGTGGCTCCTGAGCTCTGCAGGGACCTAAGTGATAGTCTGAGTGGTGGCACTCCTGGTTTTCTTGCATTTGGCATCCCGCAGAGCAGAGGTGGATCACAGCAGCCAAGGAACAGCTCCAGAGGGGAGGAAAGGAGCCTGTGCATGGCCCAGGGGTGCTGTGGTGCCCCTCTGTCAGGAATTCCCCACAGCTGACACCTGAGTCCCACATGGACACTCACAGACACAGAGATTTTTGAGGCGTTGCCTTTATTGGATCTCTGCACTGACTGCAGCTCCCAGAGGGAAGTCACTCTCCCAAGACAGGAGGGCAGTCAGTGTCATTTTCAAATCACAATAATGTATTTTAAACACTGAAATTAACAAATTGTGATTATAGTCAATCTTATCTAAGCAACTACTTTATACACTGTTATATTTAATAATAATAAAATAGTTGAGTATTTTAATCATGAAGATTATGTAAATTCACTGTTAAAGATAAAAATATAGCATACCTAAATTTTGTTTAATTCATATAATTCATACTAATTTTGATGAATGATAGTAATTATAAAATATAAAGAATAAGTGCCATTACTTAATTATTACTTAGTATTACAATATTATTCTAGACTTATTCTACATTAAAGTTATTAAAACTTTGAAAAATATTTTCAAATAAAATATTTTAAATATTTACAAACTATTTAACAATTGGAATCAATCTCGAGGTTTTTGACTGGATCTTCCTTCAAATGGCTCCATCCTCGAGGAAATGAAAGCTCCTGCATGGAAATGGTGAAAGAGAGACACCAGTAGAGATACAGTTACTATAGATACAGTGAGGAGACAGAGGGAAGAGGGGCAGGGTGTGGCAGGAGCCCTCAGGCTCTGCCCCGGCGCAGCTCTGTGCGCTGGCTGCTCACAAAGATGTGCGGCTCGCCTTGGCCAGCCCAAAGAGCATCTCCAGCAGGAAGCTTTTCTTCACACAGGCCACGGCCTGGGCTCCTCCAAAAGCCTGCCCTGCCTACCTTCAGCATGCTGTTTGTGTCCCTATTCATTTGAATCAGCCGGGCCATTTGCTTTTCCATTGCTTTCATTGTCCGGCGCATTTGCTCCATTTCTTTGAATCTCATTTGAAGGAGCCGCCTTCTCTGCTCAGTTTTGATCTTCCTCCTTCTGGCCACTTCCTGAGCTCGCTGGGCCGCTGCTCTCTGCCTTGTGGCCGCCCTTCTGCGCGTGAGCCACCACTCCACAAGCATGAGCAGTGGCTGAGCAATTTGCCAGATCAGGGGCAGGTAGCTCAAGGCAGCCAGGAGCCAGGGTCCCCAGCCAGGCTCAGGTGGCTCTGGGGGAGCTGGTGTCACCTCCTCCACAGGGTGCTGGTACCCCAAGGCAGCCAGGAGTCGGCGTCCCCAGCCAGGCTCAGGTGGCTTTGGAGGTGCCGGTGTCACCTCCTCCTCTACAGGGTGCTGGTACCCCAAGGCAGCCAGGAGCCGGGATGCCCAGCCAGGCTCAGGTGGCTCTGGGAGGGTCGGTTTCTGTTTCTCTGCATGGTGCTGCTCATCTCCACGAAATCTGTTCACCACAGACAGTGGGAATGGGAAGATGAGCAGCACAAGCACAGCCAGGACTAATCTGTCCGCCATGGTCTCTGCAGGAGGAGAGACACAAGGGTTTCAGTGGGGCTACCAAGGGAGCTTGTGGGGTCTGCAGTGAGGCCCGGAGGTGCAGGGATGTGAGGGCAGGGAGCAGAGGGCCCCAGGCAGCTGGCAGGCAGCAGGGCCTGTCCCAGTGGGCCAGCAGCAGCCCCGTGCCCTGGCCAAGGCGCCGGCCCCAGTGGCTGGCCCTGGATGCAGGGGGACAATGCAGGCCCGGCTGCGGCGCTTGTGCCCCAGCCCTGGCCCAGCCCAGCCCCGCC